AAATCATAAAGTGCTATACTTTATCAATAAAGTGCTATACTATTGCCATAAAGTGCTATACTTTGCCATAAGGTGTTATACTTTATCAATAAGGTGCTATACATTTCTATAAAGAGCTATACATTTCCATACTTTTCCTAAAGATAAAAAATTGAGCGACAACCTCTCGTCGAGGTGAATAATTGATCAAGCAACACATCTTACACGTCATCAAGTGTTCGCATTGCTCCGAAAAAACTGATTTGGTTTATCCCACTACGTTGAAGAAATTCCAGAAACCATAAAATGCTATACTTTATCAATAAGGTGCTATACTATTGCCATAAAGTGCTATACTTTGTCATAATGTGCTATACTTTATCAATAAGGTGCTATACATTTCTATAAAGAGCTATACTTTTCCTAAAGCTGAAAAATTGAGCGACGACCTCTCGTCGATGTGAATAATTGATCAAGCAACACATTTTACACCGACGACCTCTCGTCGATGTGAATAATTGATCAAGCAACACATTTTACACGTCATCAAGTGTTCGCATTGTACCAAAAAAAACTGATTTGGTTTATCCCACTACGTTGCAGAAATTCCAGAAATCATAAAGTACTATACTTTATCAATAAGGTGTTATACTATTGCCATAAAGTGCTATACTTTGCCATAAGGTGCTATACTTTATCAATAAGGTGCTATACATTTCTATAAAGAGCTATACTTTTCCTAAAGTTGGAAAATTGAGCGACGACCTCTCGTTGAGGTGAAGAATTGATCAAGAAACACATCTTACACATCATCAATTGATCAAATAACACATCTTACATGTCATCACACGTTTGCATTGCTCAAAACGATACAATTTCAACTCTGAAACGACACAGTTTCAACAATAAGAACATAGTTACAGCGTGAAACAACAATTACACATCACCACTACAAAAGATCATCACAATATGTAACACTTTACTATAAAGAGTTGCACTTTTCCAAAATCTGAAAAATTGATTACAAGCTCACATGACATACATCAAAGAACACTAAGCGTAAATTCAACGAACATGTGGTGGGCGACGACAAGTGCTTCAGATTCTTGCCCGCCTCCATGTCGGCGAACTGGGGGGAGTCGATGTCGAAACCGTTGGTGGGCTGTTCATCCGATTCGAGGTTGACGGTGGTGGGTGACGTGGCGGCGAGGGGAGATAAAGGGTAGCAGAGGGAGAGGTTGATGGGTTTGAGGGAGGAGGAGAAGTGAAGGAAGGGGAGAGGAGGAGGTTGGTGGTGGTCATTGAAGGAGAAGAGGAAGGAAGAAGAGAGCTTGTGTAGTGAATTTGAGGGTAAATACAGTAATAATGGGTGTATTATACATATTGGGTTTAGAAATAAGTGGGGTGGGATACAATGGGTGTATTGATGTTTGGAAAAGTTAATGGGTTTTTAAATAAGTGGGTGTAAAACTTTGGGTTAAAAAAGAAAAACTCCTTTTTTTTATCCATTTATTAATCCCAGCTAATAAATTTTCTGGCACCTTGGCCCTATTACTAAAAGATGCAACACAATGGCAGTAAAACCTTTTTGCAGATTCCACTTGTAGCATATACAATTAGCATAGTAGGATCCCAGTCAATTAAAATTATACAATTAGCATAGTAGGAGTCCAGTCAATTAAAATTAGACATAAAATTAGAATATACAACTAATTTGCATAATAGTATATACTATATCTAAAACTAAGATTCCTTATCAACTAACCTTTCAATTTTCCATTTTCTTATCTCTTTGCACATGATATAGTATTTTTGAATCCTTATCCCATTATATTAGCTAGTGTAAACTACTACAGATTCAAAATCTACATCAACCTCTACACTATTATCCAAAGCATCATTCATAAAATAAGGCAGCTGCACCTTTCTGAAAACATCTGACATTCATAAGAGTTAAAATGGATACCTTTGTATGTATATGTACAATACTTAAAGGGCCAAAATACAATCATTGGAGTTAAAAACATCTTCGAATTTGTCTGGACTTTCCATTAAGAAAAAAGTCAAATTTCGGCCAGATAAGTGTTGCCTGCAACCGTTGAGCATCCTTTGTATCATAGTCACTAGGTCAAAACTGTGAGATATCATTATCAACAATCAACATCATCAAAGAAAAATCAAGTTATTATGTTACTATGATCAGATTCAATATCTTAAAGTCCTGAGCCATCACAATCATCGACAAATAGAAGCTTCCCTAGTTCCTTTGTTTTGTTTCCAGGTGCAATTCATTGTGTAGACAAAAAGAGAACAAGATGGAAAGATTACTTTGACACCTAATTTAAATTCAAAAAATCAACCCCATTAAAAATAAATGTTGTTGTTTTCTAAGTAAAGCGCGTTATGAGTAGACACGATATTGGGGAGTCCTGGTTCATTAATATCATCGACAACAGAAAGCATTTGATAAAAGCTGAAGCTCAGGCAATATTTCAAATCCTGGCCATGAAATCTGTGTTCTGTATCTTCACGCCTTCTCTTTTATTACAAGCAAAATACCGGTAACGTAACATAGAAACAATGAGGATTATAGTACCAAGGTCATTTGGGGACTGACTGGGTAGGATCCATGGAGAGTTAATTCTGTATGGTTCAATATGATCTTGTTAATGAAACGGATGGACAATGTATCGTTCAAATTTATTCAAAAGGACATAAAACATTGGGGCTACTGCATCCCTTTCAAATACTTTCAGGAAAAAAGGAAAATTACTGATGTTGCTTAGCTCAACCATCGATTATATAATGTAGGCCCAATGACGGAATATATGAGTGATAATTAGACAGAAGAGGGTGTAAATTCCTCTGTTTCCTCGTAACATCTCCTACATGCTTTTGCAAGTTTGTATTATGCTTCTTTACTTACAAGAATGGGCAATTAAGCGATAGTGCAGTAGGCATTGTAGGCTTGTAGCATAGCAGTGGAAGTTCTAAAGTATGCAAGAGGTCTGGAGTTTAAATCTTGCTGGCAGCAATCTACCTTTTGTGTAGGCTTGCAGCATAGCAGTGGAAGTTCTAAAGTATGCAGAAGAAGAAGAAGAAGAAGAAGAAGAAGAGGTCTGGAGTTTAAATCTTGCTGGCAGCAATCTACTTTTTGTGTAGGCTTGCAGCATAGCAGTGGAAGTTCTAAACTATGAAGAAGAAGAAGAAGATGTAGGCTTGCAGCATAGCAGTGGAAGTTCTAAAGTATGAAGAAGAAGAAGAAGAAGAAGAAGAAGAAGAAGAAGAAGATGTAGGCTTGCAGCATAGCAGTGGAAGTTCTAAAGTATGAAGAAGAAGAAGAAGAATAAAGTATGAAGAAGAAGAAGAAGAAGAAGATGTAGGCTTGCAGCATAGCAGTGGAAGTTCTAAAGTATGAAGAAGAAGAAGAAGAAGAAGAAGAAGAAGATGTAGGCTTGCAGCATAGCAGTGGAAGTTCTAAAGTATGAAGAAGAAGAAGAAGATGTAGGCTTGCAGCATAGCAGTGGAAGTTCTAAGAAGAAGAAGAAGAAGAAGAAGAAGAAGAAGAAGGAGCAGAAGGAGCAGAAGAAGGAGAAGAAGAAGAAGAAGAAGGAGCAGAAGGAGCAGAAGAAGGAGAAGAAGAAGAAGAAGGAGAAGAAGAAGGAGGAGGAGGAGAAGGAGGAGGAGGAGGAGGAGGAGGAGAAGAAGAAGAAGAAGAAGAAGAAGAAGGAGGAGGAGGAGAAGAAGGAGGAGGAGGAGGGGGAGGAGGAGGAGGAGGAGGAGAAGAAGAAGAGGTAGAAGGAGGAGGAGAAGGAGGAGAAGAAGATATTTAAGGTAAGCCTCTTTATGCAACAAGCCTGAAGGAAGATCGGACACCCATGTCTATACGGCTTTACCCTAAGCAATGAGGATGCTGTAAATCATGAGATGATAATCAAAGATGCGAAAGATATTTAAGGTAAGCCTCTTTATGCAACAAGCCTGAAGGAAGATCGGACACACATGTCTATGTTATCTGTTGACTTGCTTGGTACACAAATTTTAACTATACGGCTTTACCCTAAGCAATGAGGATGCTGTGAAGAGAAATTCATAATGATTATCATGAGATGATAATCAAAGATGCGAATTATGATCCATAGGCTTCTTTATAGAACAAAATGGTTAAGTTTAGAGATTTAGGAACATCGCCTGCGAGTTGGGACATATTGAATCACTTATTTAGCCTGAATGTAAGAGTACCATTCATGTATCCCATCCCAAAATTTTGGGATAAAGGCTTTGTAGTAGTTATAGTAATAATAGTAGCACTATCAAAAGCAAACAATAACAACAAAGTCTTTATCCCAAATGTTTAGGGTTGGCTACATAAATCATATTCTTCCATTCCGTTCAATTATGGGTCATCTCCTTTGTTAAGCTAACCGTAACCATATCCTTCTTAATTGCCTTCAACCAAGTCCTTTTAGGTCTACCTCTAGATCTCTTTATTCCATTAACTATAATATTGTTATTTCTCCTAACCGGTGCACTAAGAGATCTACATTATACATGATCATACCACCTTAATGGATCCTCTCTCATTTTATCCTCAATAGGAACAACCTTTAATTTACTATGGATGCATTTATTTCTTATTCTACCTTTTAGTGTATACCCTCAAGACAATCTCAATATTCTCATTTCTGCTACACTCATTTTCTGCATAGGCTATTTTTTAATTGTCTGACATTCTGACCCATAAAGCATTGTTGGACTTATAACTATATTATATCAGAAGCAAACATAGGATATTAATGAGTAGATCATAATCTGTAACATTTAAACGGAAAATTAAGTTGTATCAACAAAACAAATTGCAAAATGAGTGAATGACAAACCAAAACGAATGAGTTTTAATTTCAAGTACACGATTCATATCATCAAAGATCAGAAAACAAAACAAAAAGTAAAGAACTAGAGATAATATCCAATGTACTAACTAGATAACAGCGAGTGAAGCTATAACTAAGACAATCCAATAGAAGAATATATCAAAGGCCGTATTTATTAAAGAAATTACAACAATCATGGATGATAACCAATCAACCAGAAAACCTCAAAAACACAACAAAGCAATCCAACAGGAACGTAAGCAAGATCATGTCTACCGAAGAGACTACAACAATCACGCGATGACATCCTATCAAACACACAAGCTCAACAATAACAACAAACCAAAGATAACAATAACATCAATATGAACAACAGAACAAAATTTAACAGGTTGAAGAGCATCAAACCAGCGCATACAGATCAGGTACAAACGAGAACCACCGGAATCCACAGCTCCACTTCTCCTGCAGCAGCGGGCACCTCTGCAGCCAATGCCAAGTCTCTCTTCCCACCTTGAAGAACAAAACCTCAGGCCAAGTCGTGCAACAGACACAGACCAATCCCTCATGCCAAAAGCAATAAACATGCGAATAATTATGATAACAAACCGAAACAAACTTCCTGCACATCAACTCCGGCAACCTCCCCACTTCCTCCCAGTTCCCCGAAACCAGCTCCCAAATCCGAAGACTCCTCGAAATCCCATCTCTCCCAACCCCACCAACCAAATATAGCCTCTCCTCCTTCCCAATTCTCCCATTAACCAGCCGAACAAAAGCCAGCTCCGCGGGCAGCTCAGGTCCAGCTCTGGGGTCCCAAACCCCGGTCACCGGATCGAAAGCCACAATCGAAAACGGCTCAGGAGTGGAAAAGAACAACGACCCATGAAACAAAATCCCATTTTGACGAAAATTGGAGTGGCCCATCACGGAGTCCAGCCCAGAGAACCTGGACCAAGATTGGCTTGCCGAGCTATAGACGAAAACCCAGTTGGTATTGGGGCAGGGGACGAAGATTCTGTACCCATGAGGCGAGCTCGAGGGGCTAGAAATCAACGTAGCGGAAGAAATCGGATTAGTTGGGCATCGAACAACCGTCGAACAGTTGGTGAGCAGATTCAAAACCAACAAAGAGGAGTAGCCAACAGAGAACAAGAGGAGCCCAGATGAGGAGGAGAGGAGATGGGTCGTCGGTGAGGAGAGAGGGATCGTTCGCCAGTGATCGGTCGATGAGTCGTAGAGAGGGAGGAAGCGGTGAGAGAACTGGGGATGAGAGAGGATGAGGAAAGAGGAGGAGGCCGGGGAGGAGTTGAGGAGAGAGAGGAATGAGGGGGTGAAGAGGAGAGAGTTGAAGCGCTTGCAGGTCGGTCGGAGAGCGAAGAGGGTTTTTAGAGGGAGGAGGGCGAGGATTCGGTCGAGGAGGTCGTCGGGGAGTCGACTCCAGATCGAGGGCTCCATTGATTTCTTGAAATCCCCAGCTTAGATTTTGATGGGTTTATGTTGAGAGAGAGACAGAGATAGAGAGAGATAAGGAGGGTGATTGTTGGGTTATTGGTCAAGCACGGTACAGGAGGGGGAGAGAGCGCGAGGGTTGACCGTAAAATTTTCGAGATGGATATTTTATAGAGGGGTTGGTTGCATTTTGGTTGTAACTAAATAAAGAAAGCTTGGGAAACTCGATACTCTCTATTCTATGGAAAATGAAAGGGGCACACCCCTAACCACAACCCCAATCACATACTCTCTCTCATTTGCTACAGTACACCGATCCTCATATGAGATTTTAAAATTTAAAATCACAAGTGGGACCCGGTACACTGTAACAAAATGATAGAGAAGATATGGTTGGAGCTATGGTTGGAGGTGTGCCCCTAGTGTCACCCTATCTATTGGTGATGTGAGTAAGCTAATTGAGCGGTTAGCTCGTACGGGGCAAGATCTAAATGATTATTAATAAAATATTTTTGGAAATACATGTTTGTATATAAAAAAAAACATTTTCATAAGACATTGGTGAAATCTAATTCCTATATTCATCATTACGTATTGAGAGTTTCTGTCCAGTTTATACATGTTTGCTGTTGGGAAATTGCTGGTTTTAAATTGCTGATGATACTCAAGAGTAAATGTTTCTATGTTCATGATTCATGTGGTATATTATTTGACCTTAGCAATATGAACTAAATACCCTGACTTCCTTGTAGTGTGAGACAAAGATTTAGAGGTACTTCTTCATTTTCTAGAAATCAGGTAACTTTGGCCAACAGTTTGTCATTTACGAAATATCATCATCGTCATCATTAGCAAAATTTGGCGCACGTCTCGTATATCATTGAGCTTGCCGTGTGGAAAAACTTCAACTTTTTCAATGGCTTTGTTAAGTGGTGTCCAAATGGGCTTTGGCCCGGACCGGGTCGGTGTTGGGAATTTACCCGCCGAAACCCCTAAAACAGCAGAAACGCATAATAGAAAAAGTACACTAAGATTTAACGAGATTCGGCAACTGCCTACGTCCTCGGGAACCACAAAGTAAATTTCTTATTAATCTAACAAGAAATTATAATTCAAGAGCGAATCTCAAACTTGAGATTTCTCAATAAATACAAGCTTCACTGTAGCTACGGTAAAGATTCCTCTCTCTTACAAATTAAACACTCACTCTTAATCTCTTTCACCCCTCTTTAATTCTCTTCCTCTGATTTCTCTTTCAAAATCACCAGAGAGAGAGAGAGAGAGTTGGAGAAAAGACGCGAGAGGAGAGAGGAGTCCCGCCGCCTCTGGATTGAACACGAGAAGATGAGGAGAAAAAGCAAAATCATCTCGGGCTTGGGGTTTCCCTTTTATAGGGAAACCCTAGCTAGCTCACGACAGCCTGTCGTGAGCTGTCCTCGAGCTCGATTGCAAGTCGCGTGGACTTCGCCTGTGCAAAATCCACCTGCCTCGAGCTCGCCTTGAACGATCTCGCCTGACCAAAGTTCGCCTGCTCTCGAGAATCGCGCTAGAAGGTCACGAGCTCGCCAGTAGAACGATTCGAGCTCCTTGCCGAGCTATAGACGAAAACCCAGTTGGTATTGGGGCAGGGGACGAAGATTCTGTACCCATGAGGCGAGCTCGAGGGGCTAGAAATCAACGTAGCGGAAGAAATCGGATTAGTTGGGCATCGAACAACCGTCGAACAGTTGGTGAGCAGATTCAAAACCAACAAAGAGGAGTAGCCAACAGAGAACAAGAGGAGCCCAGATGAGGAGGAGAGGAGATGGGTCGTCGGTGAGGAGAGAGGGATCGTTCGCCAGTGATCGGTCGATGAGTCGTAGAGAGGGAGGAAGCGGTGAGAGAACTGGGGATGAGAGAGGATGAGGAAAGAGGAGGAGGCCGGGGAGGAGTTGAGGAGAGAGAGGAATGAGGGGGTGAAGAGGAGAGAGTTGAAGCGCTTGCAGGTCGGTCGGAGAGCGAAGAGGGTTTTTAGAGGGAGGAGGGCGAGGATTCGGTCGAGGAGGTCGTCGGGGAGTCGACTCCAGATCGAGGGCTCCATTGATTTCTTGAAATCCCCAGCTTAGATTTTGATGGGTTTATGTTGAGAGAGAGACAGAGATAGAGAGAGATAAGGAGGGTGATTGTTGGGTTATTGGTCAAGCACGGTACAGGAGGGGGAGAGAGCGCGAGGGTTGACCGTAAAATTTTCGAGATGGATATTTTATAGAGGGGTTGGTTGCATTTTGGTTGTAACTAAATAAAGAAAGCTTGGGAAACTCGATACTCTCTATTCTATGGAAAATGAAAGGGGCACACCCCTAACCACAACCCCAATCACATACTCTCTCTCATTTGCTACAGTACACCGATCCTCATATGAGATTTTAAAATTTAAAATCACAAGTGGGACCCGGTACACTGTAACAAAATGATAGAGAAGATATGGTTGGAGCTATGGTTGGAGGTGTGCCCCTAGTGTCACCCTATCTATTGGTGATGTGAGTAAGCTAATTGAGCGGTTAGCTCGTACGGGGCAAGATCTAAATGATTATTAATAAAATATTTTTGGAAATACATGTTTGTATATAAAAAAAAACATTTTCATAAGACATTGGTGAAATCTAATTCCTATATTCATCATTACGTATTGAGAGTTTCTGTCCAGTTTATACATGTTTGCTGTTGGGAAATTGCTGGTTTTAAATTGCTGATGATACTCAAGAGTAAATGTTTCTATGTTCATGATTCATGTGGTATATTATTTGACCTTAGCAATATGAACTAAATACCCTGACTTCCTTGTAGTGTGAGACAAAGATTTAGAGGTACTTCTTCATTTTCTAGAAATCAGGTAACTTTGGCCAACAGTTTGTCATTTACGAAATATCATCATCGTCATCATTAGCAAAATTTGGCGCACGTCTCGTATATCATTGAGCTTGCCGTGTGGAAAAACTTCAACTTTTTCAATGGCTTTGTTAAGTGGTGTCCAAATGGGCTTTGGCCCGGACCGGGTCGGTGTTGGGAATTTACCCGCCGAAACCCCTAAAACAGCAGAAACGCATAATAGAAAAAGTACACTAAGATTTAACGAGATTCGGCAACTGCCTACGTCCTCGGGAACCACAAAGTAAATTTCTTATTAATCTAACAAGAAATTATAATTCAAGAGCGAATCTCAAACTTGAGATTTCTCAATAAATACAAGCTTCACTGTAGCTACGGTAAAGATTCCTCTCTCTTACAAATTAAACACTCACTCTTAATCTCTTTCACCCCTCTTTAATTCTCTTCCTCTGATTTCTCTTTCAAAATCACCAGAGAGAGAGAGAGAGAGTTGGAGAAAAGACGCGAGAGGAGAGAGGAGTCCCGCCGCCTCTGGATTGAACACGAGAAGATGAGGAGAAAAAGCAAAATCATCTCGGGCTTGGGGTTTCCCTTTTATAGGGAAACCCTAGCTAGCTCACGACAGCCTGTCGTGAGCTGTCCTCGAGCTCGATTGCAAGTCGCGTGGACTTCGCCTGTGCAAAATCCACCTGCCTCGAGCTCGCCTTGAACGATCTCGCCTGACCAAAGTTCGCCTGCTCTCGAGAATCGCGCTAGAAGGTCACGAGCTCGCCAGTAGAACGATTCGAGCTCGCCTCGCCTGCACCTTCGCCTGCTCGAGAGCTCCGCCTGCAGCTGCCGTCGACCTCGCCTGAGCTTCATCCTCGCTTGGAGAAGCTCGCCTGCAAGGTTTGATCTCCACACTCGATCCAACAATCTCCCACTTGGAGATAAAACCGTCGTCAGCAGGCTGACTCATCATGCTCCTCCTTCTGTGTGGCTCCGCCCTCATCATCTATGCATGAAGGCCAACTGAAGTTGCGCACAACTCCAGTTTCTGAACGATCACCGTCTTTGTTAACATATCTGATGGATTCTTACTTCCTAGAATCTTCTCCAGTTTCAACACGTCATCTTCCAATAGAGATCTGATGAAGTGGTACCGAAGCGTAATATGTTTCGTTCTAGAATAAAATATGGAATTCTAATCAAGTGAATCGCACTCTGACTATCGCTATGTAAAACATTCTTCTCCTGTTTGAATCCTAGCTCTGTTAACAAACCCTGAAGCCATATCATCTCTTTACTATCTTCATTCACTGCAACATACTCAACTTCTATAGTGGATAGAGTGACAATCTTTTGTATCTATGACATCCAACTAACAGCTGTAGTTCCGACAGTGAATACATAGCCGGTGGTGCTTCTTCGGTGATCGACTTCACCTCCAAAGTCTGCATCTACGTACCCTTGCATTTCCACCTCTCCCTTACCAAAGTGCAAACACTTCTGTGTGGTGCCTCGTAGATACCTCAGAATCCACTTGACTGCTTCCCAATGAGCTTTTCCTGGATTCGATATAAACCGGCTGACCACTTCCACTGTATGGCCAATGTCTATTCTCGTACAGACCATTGCGTACATCAAACTTCCGATAGCTGAGGCGTAAGGGACCTGAGCCATACTCTCTTTCTCTTCTTCTGACTGAGGAGACTGATCTTTCGATAAGCGAAAATGGCTGGCCAAGGGTGTGCTCATTAGTTTGGCGTCGTTCATGTTGAATCTTTGCAAAATACGGTTGATGTACTCCGTCTGAGATAACTGCAAGAGACCTCTCTTCTTATTTCTCGTGATTTGCATTCCAAGGATCTTCTTCGCTGGACCCAAGTCCTTCATGTCAAACTCCTTTGACAGCTGCTGCTTCAAACTCCTAATATCTTTCATATCTGCACCTGCAACCAGTATGTCATCAACATACAACAGTAGGATGATATAACTGGACTGATATCTTTTAAAGTAGCAACAGTGGTCGGCGTTGTACTTCTGAAAACCTTCCTTGTATATAAAACCGTCAAACTTTCTGTACCACTGCCTTGGGACTTGTTTCAGGCCATACAAGCTCTTCTTGAGTCTACACACCAGGTTCTTCTTCTTTTCTTTTGAGAAACCTTCTGGCTGGTGCATGTATATCTCCTTTTCTAGATCTCCATGAAGAAACACCGTCTTCACGTCTAACTGCACGAGATGAAGATCTTTAATTATTACAATACTCATCACTGT